TTTATACGTTTATATTATATTAATACGTTTATATTATTATTACGCAGCCAAATTTTCCGTTTTAAATTAGACGTCTTAGTCTTGTCCAGGGCCGGCGCCTACAGGTAATTAAAGTAAATGTAAGTCGTAAGAACAGTGTCGTTAGAGGCTCTTCTAAAAGTTCTCCTAATTAGGGCCTCATTTTATTTAAAAAAACTTAATTTTTTAGGTAATACAAAAAGCGTCTTATATTTTGAAAAGGGTCCCGTTAAATTAGGGGCTTATGCTCCTAATTTAGGGGCCCATGCCCATAAATTAGAAGTGTATGGTACTGCGTAAGAATAATTAGCAGGTAGAACAAAATTTCATCAATTTCTAACATGTCGTTGTTGAAAAATGTACTTAATATCTTTAATATATATGATGTAACAACATAATATTTTTGAATTTTGCTAAAAACCAAAGTTATTTTGTTCTATCTCCAAAAGAGGGTGCAAAAAAAAGGGCGTTAGCGTAATTTTAAAAAGTTTTTTTTATCTAAAAATTAATAATAAAACATTTTTAAATCTTAGGAAATACCTAAATTCTCAAAATATTTTTTCAATTTAGCTGCGAACAAATTCAAACTTTGACATCGATTTTCTCAGTTTGCAAAAACATGGAGATAGCACAAGATAATTCTAACGTCGCGATATGCATCTAATTTGGCTAACTGCTTATCTTTGTTGGTCATATGAGTCATATTTCTTTAGAAATTGTTAAAAAAGCAATAATTGTTAAAAAAGCAATTGAAAATTATATAACTATTTTGTGTTTGCCACCACACTGTTTGCATCTGCTACAGCCACTTGATGTGGGAATCTTTCGCCATACAATATGTATGGTGTGAAATTCTGGTTAATTGGTACACCGAGTGAAGGTTGAAAGTGGTTGGGAAATCTGTTTTTCCATCTTTACTTAAAAAACTTTATGATACTTGTTTTAAGCCAGCTCATTTAATAAGATCGTTTTCCAAAACTGGAGTTTTTCACCTTGATCCATCTGCTATAACATCTGATAAGTTAACTCCTTCCGAAATCTATAAACACCCTTTTTCTCAGAAAACAAATAATTGTGACTACAACATCCCTTAAAACATCACTTTGAAAATCAATGGCAATGATCAAAACAACACTTGTGAACATTTTTCTATTAAGAAGTCAAAAAACAAATACGATTTTCGCAAAACTATAATGTCAATAAAAAAAGGCTTAAACAATGAAAAAATAAATCAGCTTTTAATATCAGATGTAGATTATTTTAATTGAAATGAGACCATAAGAGAAATAGTGAAAGTACAGTTGATGGACATAAAGGGTGATGTTTGTTCATGCAACAACCAATCTATGAAAAAAATAAAAAGAAGCTATGGAGGTGGGTCTCGTATATCAGAAAATGCGTTTAAAAGAATAAACGATAAAGAAAATGAAAGCTTTAAAAGAAAGATGAAGCAGCAAGGCTAATTAGAAAAAAAAAAAATAATTTATCAAAAATAACAAACACAGAAGAGTTAAAGATGAAGTAGTTCACTTTACCCCAATGTATGGCTAAAGTGAACTAGTAAGCATGTTTTTTTTTAATATATATTTGGTATTGTAGTAATAATTTTTAATCTTAGTAATTTGTTTCATGTTGTGGCTAATACTTTAAATGGTATAAATTTTGAAAATTGTTAGATGTAAGCTTTTTTTCAGAATTATTTTCCATCAAATTTTGAAAACAGTTCACTTTTCCCCAGTTTACCCTACTCAGCGTAGTTAAAGAGAAATCCGAAGAAAAATATAGCGTTTTGGCCCTTTCGTTTTCAAAAATGCCGTTTTATTCTGTGTGCGTTTTCATTGGTTTATTTTTTTTTTAATCACGAAGCTCGTTTTATTTTGTTTAAAAATATTCGGTGATTTTATTATCTACGAGTTTGAAGTTTCAGCTTAATACTATGGGGCAGAAGTTATGTAAAAGCTGAAATGTTTCTGTTTAGTAATTTATTCAAACGACCATGGTTTAAAAAAACTACGCCTAAAGGCAGTGAGGCGTACGCCTCAGTGCGAGGCATTGGATTTTCGCACTAAGGCGTAAGCCTCATTCAAATTAATAAAACGTTCGCCTTTATTGGTTCGATAAAGCGCTGGAGCGTTGAGGTTTTCCTGAGGCGTCGCCTTAGGGGTTGTCTATTAATTACGTTAACAAAATAGGGGGAGGGGGTCTGAACTTTTTTGACAATTGTTGACAAGGGGAAGGGGTGGAGGTCAATTAAAGTTAATGTCAACAACTATTTTTTTTTTTTTAGTTCTATTGCTTAAATAACGGAAAATTAGGCTGAGATTGTAGCGTAACATCTTTGTATAGGGAGGGGTAATCAAAAATTGACACATAAAAATCGATTAATTGAAAGCTAAAATGGTAGCAGGAAAAAATCCCCCCAAGAAATTTTTTTTTTCAATTAAAAATTATCAATAAAATTATATTATAGTTATATTTATTTATTTTAAATAGTTTTATATATACTATATAAAACTATTTAAAATAAATACTTCATTTTTCATCAAAATGTCAAGTTATGCGCTATTCCTCGGTTGTCGGTAAAATGCGAATTGCGAACCACGAACTGCGAACCGGTAAAATGCGAACTTTTTTGCAAACCAAAATATTATATTTTAAATACCATTATTTTTATGATAAAAATAATAATAAAAAAAAACTCTCCGATTCTTATTTATTTATTTTAAAGCTTTATTTAAAATAAATTTTTTATTTTGTAACTGTAAAATGTGCGCGGAGTGTTGCTACATCGACTATCTTATAGCGTGACTCACAACGGAGTGCTGCTACATCGACTGACAAATAGCCTGAATTGCAACGGAGTGCTGCTACATCGACTGAGGGTTTGGTTTGGGCAGGTAGTCTATCGAAAAGTTAAAAATATATATGTTTTTTCATATCATATTTGTGTAGTTTCACTTAATTTCCATTTTTTTTTTTTTTTTTACATAGATTTTTCGCTTAAAAGTCCTTAAAATATACCGTTAAATTAACTATTTAACAGTAAATGATAAATAAAGTATTACATCATTAACAACCAATACGACGATGGTTCGCAAAAAAGTTCACATTTTACCAGTTCGCAATTCGTCACGGTTAGGGTTAGGGTTAGGTCTTCACATTCGCTACCTTCGAGGAAAAGCGCATAACTTGACATTTTGATGAAAAATGAAGTATTTTATACAAATATTTAAAATAAAGCAAAAAATAAACATAACATATTGATAATTTTTAAGTCAAAAAAAATTTTTTGGGGGGAGTTTTTAATTTTTTGAGGGGAGTTTTAAATTTTTTGGTGGGGAGTTTTTAATTTTTTGGGGAGAGTTTTTAATTTTAGTTTTTAATTTTTAAGTCAAAAAAAATTTTTTTGGAGGGATTTTCCGGTGTAATTTTTTCTCGGGGGGATTTTATCCGGGGGGGACTTTCTCGGGAGGATTTTTTCTTGGGGATTATTTCGGGGGGATTTTTTCCGGGGGGATTTTTAAAAAATATTTTAATTTATAGAGTTCGTTTTTAGACCGTGATAATATTTTCTTATATAGGGGAAAGCGGGGCAACATGGCGAATGGGGCAAGATGGGTTTTTATATAACAACTTAAAAAAAACTCTTAAAATTGGGTGAAAACGAAACTGTATTTGCATCTTGTATTTTAAAACACCAATTGGTTTTTTGAAATATTATTAACGCGCATAAGTATACTTTTTGCGCTTAAAAAAAAATTCCTAACTTTCGGTTTCTCATAATGGATGGTGTACTTCAAGTTTAACTTCTTTAAAAGTAGTTTTTTGCAATTTGTGTTTATTTTTTGTTACTTTATCTAGAGTTATTGGTAGTTTTTAAAATTTTATAAAATTGGATGTAAAAATTGCAGAATAAGTCATCTTGCCTGGTCACGTGACCAGATGACAAATTTATGAACTTTTTATTTTAATATTTATTTTAAATTGTTATATTTGCAAACTGAAAGTTCATGCAGGCAATGAAGGTTTTTAATAACATAAACATACTGAGAAAGTATTACTGCTTCACGACTGTTAGTTTTGCAATAACTCAGGGCTTTCAAAACATTCGCCATGTTGCCCCGCTTTCCCCTACATATATTGTTATGAACAAAATATAGTTTAGTCGGCGTATTTTTACTTTTATTAAGAAAATAAATGTATTAGAATGATAATGATAATTTATAAATATATATCTAAATTATATATTCTGATATTGTATAATTAAATCATATCTTATACTCATATGCCCGTATAATTGTATTAACTAATCATTAAAAAATTATATTTTGTTGTTATGACAACAAAAACAGCACTACTGATGATTTGAAAGGCCTCTAGTGCTAAAATATTAAAATTTATAATTAGTTTAATTTTTGTAAAATTAAAAGAAGAAAATATTTATTTAATTTAGAATATATATATATATATATATATATATTCTAAATTAAATAAATATTTTCTTCTTTTAATTTTACAAAAATTAAACTAATTATAAATTTTAATATTTTAGCACTAGAGGCCTTTCAAATCATCAGTAGTGCTGTTTTTGTTATCATAACATATATATATATATATATATATATATATATATATATATATATATATATATATATATATATATATATATATATATATATATATATATATATATATATATATATATATATATATATATATATATATATATATGTATATATATATATATATATATATATATATATATATATATATATATATATATATATATATATATATATATATATATATATATATACAGTCGACTCTCGATATCTCGAACACTAAGGGGACCGAAAAAAAAGTTCGAGATATCGAGAGTTCGAGATATCAAAAAAAGGGTTGAAAATAAATAAAATTGCCCGACTTTCTTTGAAACAAGTTATTTTTCTGACAAAAATCATTAACAACAAAAACTACAACTTTTGAAAAAAATCTGTTATCTGATATTGCTTTAAATTATCTATCTTTTCCATCTTTATTAAATCCTCAAGTTTTAGTGCTAGGGATTGTATTTCATTTCCGTATTTTGAGCTGTATAGCGAAGCATTTTGAATCGTTTCAAAAGCAATTTCTAATTGAATATCAGATGGGCGTGGCGGGGCTTCGACATCAATAGCTTCATCAACGCTATCTTCAACTTCATTATCGTCGTTTTCAAAATTAGGGTCTAAAATCTGAGCAATGATTTCAGCATCAGTAGCAAGTGAACCGGTGGTTACTACATCGCAATCTAAACCAATGTAAGAATCCGCTGAAAAATCTTCTTGGACGGCACGAGGATCTACTCTCGCAAACGGTTAAGTTTTTCTGTCAAAAAGTTAAAAGGATGATCATCATCAGCTTCTTCAATACTTTTGTTTGTTTTGCTGATACCAGCTTTTTTAAAGCAGTCAATGACAGTCTCCATCGACACAGCATTCCACGAAGAAACAAGATCTTTCATTGCTTGAAGTATAGAAAGTTTTGGCATGAGTTCGTTATTATCGACAGCCTTGATACACAAACGCACAATTTTGTGACGATAATGAGCTTTAAGACTTCGTATTACGCCTTGATCCATAGGCTGAAGGACAGATGTGGTGTTAGGGGGGAAAAATATTAGGTTGATGTTGCATAGCCCTTCAATGTGTGGGTGGGCAGAACAGTTATTCACCAGGAGTGCTACTTTCCTGTCTTGAGCACGAAAAAATGAGTCAAGTTTCATTACCCATTGTTTCATGTGCTTAAAACACCGTGTGTTTTTAGATTTTCCAATAACAAACATAGGTAATTTTTTTCCCGTTGCACTCCCTGCTGCTATGCCTGTTAGTCTGACTTTACTATTTTTTCCCCCAAAACATTTTTCTCGTAATAAATGGTATGTTTTGTTAAGTAGGCACTGGTAAAATAGTCCAAACTCATCGGCTTTGAAAATGTTTTCAAGTTTGTAATTCAAAAGCAATGTTGGAAGTGTAGTTTCATTCCACGAAGCAGTCATATTATTCGTCACGGCGGCACTTTCGCCTGGGATTATTTTAAAGCTGATGCCATTCCTAAAAATAGGAACAGAATAATTGAATTTTAATTACACGTTTAAAAAACTAAATAAATTAAATATAAACAGATACATGTTATTTGTTTATATTAAAATTGAACAAGATTTGACAAAATTTAACTGACCTTTCTTTCCAATTATGAAACCAACAATTAGATGCTTTAAAATGCAACTCTCCTAATGCTTCTGAGAATTTTAGTGCCTTTTCTTTTAGTATGGTACCATCAATTGGTACTTGTTGACTTCTTTTTGCAACGAACCACGTGTATATGGCCTTGTCTACATTTTTAGAATTACCACTACGAAGTTTCTTCCGTTTAGATTTTGTGCCATTTTTTTCCAGTGAAGTTAATAACTTGGTTTTATTTTAAATCCAGGGTGATAATGTGTTCTTTGGGACTCCATACTTTTTGGCAAGTCTTTTAATGCCTTGCATTTTTCTATTATAGATTTGTTCGTGAGTTTTCGTTTAACGAGCGGCATGTTGTTGCGTTTGACAAAAAAAATAAATTAATATATTAAAGGAATACTTTTCAGAAATTCGATTCTTAAAAAAAATCAAATTTAAAAATCGAATCAAAATTTTTTTTTTTCGAAAATTGGAATTTAAAAAAAATTAAATTTTATTAAAACATTTTTGAAAAAAAAAATGTTGAAAAGTTCGAGATAACGAGAGGAAATTGCCCTGTGGACCGAAAATATTGTTCGAGATACCAAAAAGTTCGAGTTATTAAGGTTCGAGATATCGAGAGGATTTTAGCCTAAACTAGTACGTTATGTCCATGAGACCGCTAAAAAAGTTCGATATATCAAGTATTCGAGATATCGAGAGTCGACTGTGTATATATATATATATATATATATATATATATATATATATATATATATATATATATATATATATATATATATATATATATATATATATATATATATATATATATATATATATATATACACACTCATATATCGCGTGGACAAAGAAAAATCCGGTCAACTTTAAATTAAGATTTCTCTAAAACCGCAAATGTTTTTTATTTCTTTTATTTTTTTAATTAAACGTTACTTCCTTATGTTGATATAATTTTGTTTACAAATCAATGATTTGTAAAATGTTTTGGAAATAAATTGAGATGCGTAAAAAAAGTTGTGAATTTTTTTTGCAAAAATACATGGACTTCGTATATCGCTTAAAACGTACGAAAGTCCCAAAATCTACAGTCATAGATATTATAAGACTACTCGAAGCATCAAAGGAAAAATCGGAAGTGAAAGAAAGAAAACTTTCCATAAATCCAAAATGGTAAAGCCGATTCTTAGTTCAATAGCAAGGAATCCGATCCAGTCGAACACAGCAAGATCTAACGAGAAAGTTCAAGACTTCGCGTTTTTATGTCAAAAAATTACTTAAAAAAAGGAATTAATAATTTTATAAGAAAAGAACACCTAAGAGAAGCGTAGATGGTGACATTACGCATTATAATATATAAAATTAGCATTTTATAAGAAAAATACACCTAAGAGAAGCGTAGGGGAAAGGCGTCTACGATGGCATAGCGCCTATGATGGCATACCGGTCATATTTTCATAAATACTGGTTATGGGCATACCGGTCATATTTTCATAAATACTGGTTATGGCAAAAAAGTGATTAGACCAACATGTCTATACCGAATTTATATTAGTTTTAGTAAAAATACGTCCCTTATGTACAAATATTGCTTTGATAATCAACAAAAATCGATTTTGTGATGTGCTGTTGTATTTTTCATCCCTTTAAATATTTAAGATTGAGATTTTATTGTTAAAACTCTTCAGAAATGAAATTTTCATGCATTTTGCTTCCAAGATTTGGGCATTTAATAGAATACTTATATTAGTTATATCTTTTGAACAAGGCACATAAAGCTTGTTTAAATAAAAATGAATCCTTCCTCTGACGAGTTAGGTGTGTTGCGATATTGACTAGTTGAGAAAACCTTTATTTTTTCATAAAAACAACATATTTATTAGTGAAGAAAAAAAGAATTTTTACTTCACTCAAAAGTTTTTGGTTCAAAAAACACATTAAACGCAATATCTCTTATGCGCATGCGCAAAATTCTACACTGCTGCTGTGTAGCACACAAAAGAGTTAATTAGGATGATTACGCGTAATTTCTGGCATTTCTGAGGAAAGATTCTAAGTTCAAATAAAATGGTCAAGTTATCCTTGATGCTAACCAGCCACATCCTCCCCTATGCCATCATACGAGCAGACTCGTGCTTTTTTTTTAAATAAAAATATTTAATTAAAAAACAGAATTGATAAAAACATCTCAGATTATTATTGTTCTGCATGTAACAAAAAACGTAAAAAAAACGTATAAAAAACGTATCTACATTAAAACTTTTAATTTTTGTCTTCAGGATACTGAATAATGAAGCTTCAAAATTAAGTATGCCATCATAGACGTCTTTCCCCTAAATGGTGACATTAAAAGAATTCAACGTACAGAGAAGTTAGTTAAAATAATGGCGGATAAAAGTATATGCATAATTGAAGACACCGAAACATATTGCATGGCGAATTTTTCACAACTTCCTCATCAACAATTTTTTTATGAGAACAAAGATAAACCTATCGAAGATCAATTTAAATATATTTGACGAGAAAAATTTGCATTCAAGTTCATTGTGTGGCAAGCAACTTGTAGCTGTGGTACGCAGTCCTCTTGTTTTGTCATTAAAAAGACCTTGATTGCTTATCTCTACATCAAAGAATGTCCCCAAAAAAAACTTTTTGCCATTTATGAGAAAACACAAATACCGTCTATTTTGGCCAGAAAAAAAATGTTACTTTGGCCAGATCTTGCTGCTGCTAAATGTTCTAAGAAAGTTCATAGTGGTGCAAAGATAATAATGTGAAAACTGTTTCTAAAGATTTGAATACTCCAAATTGTCCTGAAGAGCGCAAGATTGAAGATTTGTGGCCAATAGTTAAAAAAGTTCTTTGAAAGACAGATGGAGTAACAAAAAATATAAAGGACTTCCAAAAAAAGTGGATTAATGCCACCAATAAGGTGAGAAAAGAAAAAATCTGCAAAATAATGGCACAAACCCGCTATAAAAATTCGATCTTTTGTCAAACAGCCCATCAAGCCCCTTAAAATTAAGTTGAAACCCTAATTAATGTAAACAAATTTAATATAAAAAAAAATTGAATTAAAAAGATTTGTGGTTTTAGGGAAATCTCAATTTAAAATTGACCGAATTTTTCTGTGTCCACCCGATGTTTTTTATTTTTTTAATTAATAAAAATGCACAAGATTTTCTGTGTTTAACATGAGATTTTTTAATAATGTTTTAAGAGAAATCAGGTTATTCGATTTCGTAAATTTAATATTTTTAAATATTACTTTGTTGTACAGATAAAGGACCACGAAATGAAATAGAGAAGCAAGAGAGATTTTTTTTTTTAAATAGAGAAGGAAGAGATTTTTTTTTTTTAAATGATAATTTAAAGTTTCCCTTTCTCCTCTTGTGTTATATCTATTTTTGCTATTATGAAAGAAATTTTTTGAAAAATGTAGCGGAAGAAGTTCAAGTTTGTATTTTATCATAAACATCAACTTTTGAAATATGTTAATTTTATAGACATTTAATCAGCCCTCAGAATTAGGGTCGGCATTCGTCAATGCCGACCTACCTGCCGACCTAAAAGTGTTTAAGGTTGGCCAAACATTGCCAACCTTGTTTTTATGTTATGGTAAGACCTTTGTATGAAATTTATTTTAGTAAGGAATAAAGGAATAACTAGTAATTAGTCCATTTATAAATACTTTAAGTTTAAAATTAATATACTTTCGGCTAACTCACAGCTACAATAATTATGGTAACATTTCGTGGGCTAGGTCAAAATCCGTTAAACTTCAAAAGAAACTTAATGAGAAAAAACATGATATCAGAGTTATTTATTGGAAAAGAAGATGTAAACATGGAAGGGAGAGAAATGAAAATGATGAATATAAATATAATAAGTATATTTTATCACGTGATCTTCATACATAACTATATAAAAAATCTCACACCAAAAATTTTGAAAAAATACTCAAGATAAATCAAAACAGTAACTATTCTATAAAAATCAAATGAGAAGTTTACATACATACTGTCTTGTAAACTAACTAAATATAAAGAACTAAGTGTCCTGACCCGTAAAATACGGATCTTGGTAAATCTATTCAATACCGACCTTTTCTATACTTATTCGTTACTTCAATATTTTTTAGTCAGCGGCAGAAAAATAACAATATACATATAGAAGAACGATATTTATTGTTTACTTTTTAAAGCAATAAATTTTTTTTTTCTGTTTTAATAACTTTAAAAAGGTTTAAACATTTCGGAAGCCTTTGCGCGAATTGCTATTTATCAACGGATTGTATATCAGTACCTGTCTAAATAATATTCAGAATACCCGCTTGAAATGTGTTAAATAGTTACCATTGGTAAAAGTTTCATTCAAAATGAAAAACAAAACAACTTTATATCTTTCAAGACAAACTTTTTTCTTCAAAAATGTTTTTTTTTGTATTTTAGAAAAACCGAAACAGATTAAGTAAAAAAAATGCTAAGTTCCATATTATAATTTATGATACAGCATAACTTATCGAGAGCTTAAGATACGGGACATAACTTTAAAAATAAACATTATAATGGATAAATATAACAATAAAAAATACGATGAAATCAGTAAACTAATTTAAGTTTAATATAAATTAAGAAGTTTTGAAATTTTCTGTTGACGCTTTGTTATTTTTTAGCTGATTTAAGTGCGATGGCTGATAGCATAGTTCATAACTAATTAGCTACTTTTTGGAGATCATGTGGTCTCCAAAAAGTTGCTACAAGGTAGGCTAATACAAGGATAATTAATTTCAGCGCGGTATTACCAGAGATGTTGCGACTCTTTCCAATAAAGTAAGCCCAACTACTACGTTACAACCACGTTAAAAAAGTTTAAGTGCAAAAAAACAGTTTGCATAATTTATTTACTATGAATTATGCAAGTTGTTTTGGAACATGAAACCTTTTTTATGTACGTCAACAGTTGTTATAATTAAATCAAGTTTAATAATAAATATTTAACTGGGGTGATGGTTTAAGCGCTTGCTTCAGAATTAACAACGTTCAATTCCAGCTCTGATCATATTTTCATCATCGGTAAGTTTTCCGGTGCTCAATAAAAAGACCGTATATACTTCCTGTAACACCTAAGAAAACAGATAAATAAATAAAACTTAATCAATTCGTATAAAACACCATACGTGTTTTGCAGTACCACACATAAATAATTCAAAAAGCAAATTATTTATTGTGTAAATGTTAAGACTGTATCATAGGAAATGTTAACACTGCATCATAGGAAATGATAACACTGCACATCAGAGGAAAAAAGCAAAATCATTAAAAATGAGTATGTAATTTGTTTTGTATTTCTCCTGGTAATAGAGATATACAACAATAATGATGATTGATT